CCATTTTTAAATCATTTTAATTCAAATTTTAAATCTTTTACAACCTCAATTATCAATTTTACTTTATTTTTAATCAAATTATAAATTTCAATTCATTATTTTCAAATTTACTTTTAAAAAATTCCCCAATTAGACATTTTTATCAATCTACTAATCTTACATGCTTTTCATAAATTTACCTAAAATGACATTATCCAAATCTACAATTTAAAAAAATCATTTTTATATTTTAAAAAAATTTCATCATATCATAATTCTAAACTTATTTGTGTTTTTCTTAATATCTTATTTTTATAACAAAATAGCAATATTTTAATCAAATATTCAAAATTTGAAAAAATTATTGTCATGTCCATCATTTTATTTAAACGCTCCAATTCAAAATATTCTTGTCACTATCACGACATTGCCCTTTTACAATGATCATTTTCACGCTACCATAAACAACGATAAAAATCAAATGTTTAAATATAAATTAACATAGGTGTAAAACAGATTTCATAATTTCAGAAATATCCTGTGATTTCTCTCCTGAGAGACAATATCTTCAAAAACACATTTAGAAAAATATCTGTCCTCCCCAAAACAAGTTAAAAATAAAATCCAGTCCAAATCCCTGCCAGTAGATAAATTAGGTCACCATCTGCCAAATTCCTACATAGTTACACTCCCTCGTACCTTCCTTTTACATGCATAATTAAGCATCAACACATCTCTCTCAACAAACTCACCCAAACTCACAACAACACGCTCACACATCTCTTTCTCCAATTGGCAACAATTATTAGAGCGCGACTTCACAAACAAATCCAATTTCGAGTGACACAAGCTGCATAATGTCGCCCTACTAAACACTAAAATAATTTCACATTAAACGTGCCATATCCACTAACAATATAAAATTTCTCGATATATTTTCGTACAACCAGCACCGATGACTTTAGTAAATTTGTTATTCATGGTGAAACAGGTTAGATTTGGTACCAAACAATGACTTCACGTGACACCTTTTCATTCACAATTTTCACTTCTTGTCACAGCGCCACACCACAAAACTTTCTCACTTAACAGGCCAAAGACGCATTCATGCCTGGGACTCATCTCACCTCAAAGCGTGTCTACGTCGAAAGTCATAATCTAGCCTGAAATCATCGAATAACATTTTTACTAAGTCTAAGCTAACTTCGAAACACAAAAGACACGAACACCGAGAAAACTATATCTTTCAAATAGACTATAAAATTGCCAACCTCAACAAAAGAAGAGAGAGTAAGTCAGTTTCAAGTAAATGACAAATCTAACAAACACCCCGCACGAGTGACTATTCCAGAAATAGAACCCCGACGATACCCGAGAAAGACAGGAAGTAAACGCCCTTTAGACGTCACTCCCCCAAGTCGCTACTATTTCAGTCCCGTCCCCCCGTTTCATGTTTCCCCGCTCAAGGCAGATGTTAATGACCGCTATCTTAATGATCGCCATTTTGTAAAACGTATTTCTCATTAACCATTTAGGTTTTCTCATAAATCTCACAAGCTCCTTAATTACAACACACACAACAAATATTGAACATTTTACATGTTTATTGAGATCACAATACACAACCTTTTTGTAACCATTCAAACCAATAATTTGCGCTTCCCAATTTTCGATTTATACAACCTATACACCACATTGATAACTTCTCTCAAGAAGAAATACTTTTTGTCCAATTCCACTAACAAACTTTCATCTAGTCATTATAATAATCTTTAATTATATTCTTTTTTTATATAAATCTCTCTCTCTTTGAATAGTATTTTTGCCTTTCAATTATATAATAAAATTTTATGATGCACTAGCACGCGATCTGTTATCAAAATTCGAAACAATTTTAAAGGCGTAAGATTCTTTTTGAAATTAAACAATTTCTACTGCCCTTACTGCAATGGAAAAATTAAAGGGAGGGCCTGGGTCATCAGTGGTGAACCCTTAAACTGGCGAAACCGCTGGGAGGGTTCACTACTGATGAGCCAGGCCCTCCCTTTAATTTTTCCATTGCAGTAAGAGCAGTAGAAATTGTTTAATTTCAAAAAGAATCTTACGCCTTTAAAATAGTTTCGAATTTTAATAAAATTTTAGTTCAATATTATTTTCAAAATGAAAAAAAAAAAACTTTAATCAAATTTACTCTTATTTTTCATAATATTATTTTAGTATTGCAAAACATTTATTTGTTTTCATAAATCATTTTTATTCTTAAATATTATATATTTTATATATAACATGTTTGATTTTGTCTACCTACAATTTTTTTTTACCCGCAATCATATTTCTATCTTTTTATCCACTATATTTTATATTTGTTAAAATAGCTTATTATATGACAATGTTTATTGTCAACTATTGAGCATCTACAACAATCATATTTTCTAACCACTTCCCTATGCTTTTTATCAATGTCAATTTCAGCCATTGCTTCAAACTATCGTAGAAAAACGACAGCACTGCTTGGTAATTTTTTTTATGATTTCGTAATTTCAACAAACTATTTGAACACAGTTCCCCAGATTTAAAAATCCCAACTTCTGGCCTGAAAACGTTCCAAATTTAATTTCAATCATCCGCAAAGCACAATCACCAAGGCATGCACAAAGCGTTCACATTTTTCAACTTTTTTCAGCTCTAGCGGACCACAATCAACCTTTGATATCAAGTCAAGTCAGATCACTTACTGTCACAACAACAATTCTACTTATCGAATGGCTGATATCACCCCTTTCCCAATCATATTAATAAATAACTTTTTAAATCAATAACTATAAAATTGTGACAAAGCACTATAACCCTTATACAGAATAGCAAGTGGAACATTGCCTAGGAAGACGCTCAAGTCAAAATCCTCGCTCTACACCTGGGTCTAAGTATTTGGTTTTTATGTGCACTCCTAACAATTGCATATTCTTTAACTTCTAACCTTTTCTAACGCCCGCCAATAATATCTTAGAATTTTTAATTCTCTTTCACATAATCATATCATTATGTATTTAATTTAAACAATGGTTTTATCTAAATATTACCTTTTTATATAACCAATATTATAACTTTTTAAATTAACAAGTTTATTTTTATTATTTTCAGATATATCTAAACGAATCATCTTTTTATAGCCCTTTTTACCCTCAATTAAATAAAAGAAATTTCAATTACTTACCTGTGTTAGAGAGGCTTTACCCATTTAAACCCGGATAAACCCTTTCACTCCCGGGGCCCATCTATGATAATTTAAACCAACAACCTCATATTGTATAATTCTTATAACAATATTAATCGTATAATAGAAACACATCTGTAAATGATTATACGCATGATTGACATGTGTCATTACATGATCATATGTAATGTACTATCTACAAACTGAGGATAAATAAATAAAAATCTGTTATAGATTAAGAGTTGAGCTAAAGCAAGAGATTGAGATGGAAGTCCAACAACATCTAAAAATAGATAGGAAACTATCAGGGCGGCGCCAGTGTACAATTTCTTCCGATCCACGCTCTTGTTGCATCCGCTGAAATTTAATACTTCCTCTCTCGGCAAAGTTATATAAGACCTCCGCCCTTGCCGAAAATATAGTCACTTCACCATCAGCGGAAGCCCTGCTCAGTTGTATCCAGGGTCTACCTCATCGAACATGTAGAACAGTAATAACTCTTCTATCTCCATCTTTCGCTCCTAGCTCAACTTTTATCTGTTCACAGAACTTTCCAAGTTTTCCACTCTGCCTCGACCACGACTTCCTGTACTCTGTGAAAACTGTTAAAGGTCTCCCAAGGTGCAGAGAGGTACTGGAAAACTTCCCATCCTGACTGTTCCTCTCGGTCAACACAGTATAGCGAAAGTCGACAAGGACTCACACCATAGTTTAAGTCGACTGGATACCTCACCACATATATATATTTAATTGCTTCCTCTCTTCATCAATATTTTACACAAAAATACTTCAAAGTAATTTAAAATTCTGTAGATCATATGTATGATCACACGTGTAAAGAGAACATGTCTCACGGTATTAAACTATTCCTGAGACGTCAGCATTAGAGGAATCTTGTTTAGTAACCTCTATCAGTAGATAAGAACAGAAAACCTATTCGGCTGAATCCTATCAGAGATAGAAATATCAGAGCTGATGGTATTCATATTTAAGAGAGATAGGAGAATCTATTCTATATTTATATCCCAAAACTCAATTTTTAAATATTTATTTTATGCCATTGTTTTTATATAATATGTAACAATTATCATCACACTATTGCCATTCATTTTTTTTTTTGAATATTCAAAATGTACAGCATTTATTATTAGTAGAGAGATGATGATAATGAATGAGTCATATCATATACAGGGTAGCCCATAGCTCCCAAACCTTTTTATTTTTCTATTAATAATAAGAAGGCAGAACAAAATAAATTGGTAATACTTTATTATTGTTTGCCTTTTGAATTTTAATGAAAAAATAAAAAAAAATTGAAACTTATTGGCTACCCTGTATGTCTTAATTTATATATTACACATAGAAACACCAAGAAACTTCAATAAAAGAATCACCAAAAAGAAGGAAGACACCCGAGAAGAGAAAGTCTGTAAACAATGCGTTGAAATTGTCACAATTACACAGGAAGGAAGTAAAAATATCTAAAATACAATATAACGCGGCTGATGATTGTAAAACGAAAATTGCAATTATACCGCGAATGTTTCTTTTAAACAAAAATCGAAATTTATTTTAAAGAGAAATAACGACTATTTCTAACTTTAAGGATGAAGTATGAAACGGTGAAAATATGAAGAGTAATGGCGATCGGAAAAATAAAAGTGTCCAGGGGCGGGAATCGAACCCACGACCTTCCGCTTACCGGGCAGATGCCATGTCCACTAGGCAACCCTGGACATATTTTTCCGTTCGTAAATATTATATAAAGTAATTTAAAATACAATATAACGCGGCTGATGATTGTAAAACGAAAATTGCCTAGTGGACATGGCATCTGCCCGGTAAGCGGAAGGTCGTGGGTTCGATTCCCGCCCCTGGACACTTTTATTTTTCCGTTCGTCATTAATCTTCATATTTTCACCCTTTCATACTTCATCCTTAAAGTTAGAAATAGTCGTTATTTCTCTTTGAAATTAATTTCGATTTGGGTTTAAAAGAAACATTCGCGGTATAATTGCAATTTTCGTTTTTACAATCATCAGCCGCGTTATATTGTATTTTAAATTACTTTATATAATATTTACGAACGGAAAAATATGTCCAGGGTTGCCTAGTGGACATGGCATCTGCCCGGTAAGCGGAAGGTCGTGGGTTCGATTCCCGCCCCTGGACACTTTTATTTTTCCGTTCGCCATTACTCTTCATATTTTCACCCTTTCATACTTCATCCTTAAAGTTAGAAATAGTCGTTATTTCTCTTTAAAATAAATTTTGATTTTTGTTTAAAAGACACCTTCGCGGTATAATTGCAATTTTCGTTTTACAAAAATATCTAACCATGTAAGTCCTTAATTGCACACAAGGTGGATTGCAAAGACCGCCTCTCTGACGTCACCATCAATATATAAGTTTTTATTCTGAGCCCACAGGAGAGAAAAGATAAGGTCATCCCTATTTGGTCAATTAGTCCGAACAAAGTCAGTCAGGAGAGCAAAGACGATGGAAGAACGAAACCAGAACGGTAGTCAGGAATTGTCTGGTGCTGCCCAATATACCAACGGTCATAGGACTTCCCATAGTCAATCGCACCTTCCTGGGTAACACTCCTAAACCGAGATAACCTTGCTTCTATGCGTTTGGATATCTCTCTTTTTCAGACTAGTGCGCTCCCACTTCTGGCCAAAGACTGCAATTTTGATGATGAACTTATGATGGTATCCGCTCCACACAACATATTTATTAGATTGGCGCAAACATTATTCAAACTAAATTTCTAATGAAAGATACAGATTCTCAAACATCAAACACAGTGAAGTTTCCTTGGAAGGTCTTAAGTTACCAGGTTCAATACAATAGCTGATGGCTAGGTGTCAGACACACTCATCTTTATTTAATGAATTGAAAGTTCTATATTTTATTCCTTTGAAATTATATCGACTTATGGTTTGAAAAATAATGTTGTGCGACATCCAATCGCTGTCATAAGAGCAAGTCAATATTAGCCCTCCAATACCCAAATCAATAAGACAAATATTAAACTCACTGTTGCCTGACAACCATATTATGAGGAGCAAATAATTTTTATTTTCCTAAGGCACTCTTGAAAACCACTGTCTTAATATCTGCTTCTTCCAGGTATAGAAAGTTAAATTCAATTTCATTATTTTATCTAACAGAATATGAAGATTAACAGAAATAATTTTGTAAAAATGATATTCAGAGCTATCTTTTTTATTTAAATTATTTTCCCCAAGTCTCTACATCATATTCATGATTATAGAAAAAGCAAAGGGTCAAGTTTCGAAAGATTTTGCATCATCTTTCAGATTTTCTTCAATAATGCTTGTGCCAATTCGAATATTATATTCTTAATATATCTTCACTATTATTATAAAACAGACATAAATTGCATATTGAAACAAATTATTTGGACTCCAACGTTGAAAATGAAAGTATTTATAACAATTTTCATAACTAACACTATATATATTGTATGGCCCGTTAATACGGTGAAATCAGTTTTAAGCAATTATTATGATTCTTCACTTATTTACATTTCCCTTTATTTGGAGGAATTGATGTTCATCATCACCGATTTGTTTCTTTGGATTTATGCATTGAAACTAATTATAATTCATTTATATTTTCATGAAAATTTATCAAATCTTAAGAGTAATTTAGATCAATATCAAATTGAATATGCAATTAAGGAATTTCTTTACAATATAGATATGAACAGAAGGCTGAACAGAATTTTTTCCTTTCAAATTTTCTATTTATTAGCTGAATTTATTTGTGTTATATTATTCCTTTTCACGTTTGTTGATTTCACAAATAATGATTATAATTTGATATCAAGTATGATAGTGCAGAAAGGTTTTAAATTCATCGCTGTTGCGCTTGTTGCAAGTTTTGTTAATGGGAAATATACAGAGATGGGAAATGCCCTTCTTCACAGAACAATCTGCTGTAATGATGCTATCGTCTGCTACAGAGTACTCTGTGTTCAATCCTATACTAAATCAAATTTATTGACCTGTGGAAATGTTTTTGTTGTAGATTTTAACCAAGTATTATCATCCATTGGTTTGTTTATTACCTACTTTAGCATTCCCTTACAGTTTGGCTTGAAACTATCTTATCTTGAAGATAATTCTAAGGGAAATGAATGATAAGTTGAAATTATTTTATATAATGAACTCTCTCATAAGAAGCCTCTTTAAACATGACTTTTTCTATCTTATTATTATCTCTCACATAGAACCGATCTATCACTCACAAAAGAAGATTTACTTCATTCAAAATATTTTTCTAGTTCTTTTATATGGGCATAATTTTATTTTACTGACGCCATAGGAAGAGAGTCATTGTTTTCTTAGCAGAATATTTGACAACTAGCCTTAAAATATTTAATTGCTAAAACATTTTGTTCTCAAGAAAATGAATGATATTATAAATATTAGAATAATCTGTGTTCAATCCTATACTAAATTAGTTATCTACTTTTGATATTATTTCAGACCTAGATTCAAACAATGCATTAATTTTTCTTACCTACTTTAATATTCCTTTAGAGTTTGGTTTAAAATGATCATATCCTTAAGTTAATTCTCAAGATTCAAAATTAATCACCTATAATGTAAAATTTTCCACAAACATAAGAAACCCCTTTTAAATATGTATATATTGGTCATAGAGGATTCCTGAGAAATCAAGAAATGGATATTAAAGGCCAAATTTGCGTAAATACGCTGAACACCTGAAAAAATAATTTTGAAAATAAATTTATTAAAAAGATCAGGTGTTGGTATTAAAATAAAAAAGGCATATTCTTACCGAGCCTACATGAGCATTCTATATTTGTATAAATATTTTTGTATATTATTTTAACATATATATATAAGAGCATTGGGCGCCTCTCCTGTCAAATATATATTCAAAACTAGACGCCATCTATTGATCTTCGCCGCAAACTAGTCTTCTCGGGTCGGTGACAAAGCCACAACACTAGGTTTGGGAAAATGAGGCTGACAAGGGCCATTAGTCCAAAATCATGGCCTATAGGTGAATATAAGTAATTTACTTATAGAAAAAAAATATTGAATGAAAAAATAACTAAAAAAAGCATATAGCTATTAAATTGAACTAAGATTATAAGTTGACGCAGAGGGTTGATGAGGGTATAGGGGATGTCTGAGTATGTTCCTGCAAAAATATAGCTTAATGAGTTCTGTAATGCAGTACGAACTTGTGTTAGTGAGATACAGTTTTCATTAACAGAACGTTCAAGATGTTCCGTTTGCATCATCAGTTCAGACTAGTAGCTCCTTACTATATAAGTAGGTCGAGGAATGTGTGGAAAGAGAGAGGTAAACGCAAAAGATGTACTGCTTCCAATGATGAAGGTACCAGGCTTGTATGATGAAAAAAAAAAAGAAATATATAATTGACAATGATAAAAATGATGACCCGGGTAATAAGAAAGTAAAGAAAAAAATCTAGCTGGGTATCCCGAACTCACTATTGGGAATGATATAGCGAGGAAAGATGTTTCCAGTTGGATTAATCAAATAAAAAAAATTCTGGCGAGCAAGAATCTCTTGAGGGGAATATATGAGATTAGGTAATAAAGAAAGGGACGGTAGCTGCAAGGGTTGTTCTGTTGCCAATGATAGATTTCACTCGACTTGAATGATAATCATAAAAAATATTAGTAGTAATGATAAGTCAGGTGATAAGAAAAAAGTATCGCTTGTATCCTGAACTCATTATTGGGAAAAGATATAGCTAGGAAAGATTTCTCAGATGGATTAATCAATGGGAAAAAAAATAAATGTTTGGCGAACAGGAAGCCCTTTGGGTGATGTATGAGAATGTATGAGACGTCAACGATAAAATTATAAAAACGCAATAGAAAAAATAGATAATCAAAAAGATCTTAAACTATTAAAAGATATTATAAAAACTGTCAATATATTCAAAGTTTTAAAATGATATAAAGGTGGTTGAGAGAAGTTATAATATGTGTGATAAGCCTAGTACAAATTGAAGAAAAAAAGGTAAAATTAGTTGTTGATGGCTGACGGCATTTCTAATGATGATTGAATGGAGCACACAAAATAAAAATAAAGAATAATATCATTGATTAATGTTAAAATATTTTATCTACATCAAATATTATATTAATTGAAATAGTAATGGGGCAGGTAAAATAAAGAACTCGTGAATTTATAATATTAATGCTATTGCCATAAATAAGAGTATCGATTGAGTAGTTAATTTAGTACGAAAAAAAAACAGATATAGTGTTAGATTAAGAGAGTTCTGTAGAGAAAATTCTCCTACCAGATGGTGGTCTTGAATGGGTCTTGTGGAGTCGCCTGCGATGGGGCTAGGTGATCACCTTTTGCGGTGGTTGCCATGGGACATCGTCGGTGCTGGTAAGCGGGGCGTAGCGAGGATTTCTCGATGGATCTTGTCTGCTGTTCGAGCATAGAAGGAAGGTGCTCGTGGCGCAAGAGCTGTCGAAGGGGGCGATGATGACCTCGGTGCGAGGTACGGTTAGTCCACGCATGGCGTCTTTGAGATGGTCCACTGGATCGTCAAAGTGGAGGGCAAAAAGAAGGAGAATCCACACAATTGCGCCGTTGACCACAGGTACCTCTGTCATCCTCTGCATGCCGCTGCCTTCAGTTATCCTGCCGACTTTCTGTATTATTGTTGCAAATGTTCCTGTTGACGTATGGATAAACTGGCAGTCGTGTACGTGAGGCGAGTGTTGATGTTCTTCTCACACGCGGACAACAAGAAGCAGAGGCAGGGCTATATGTTAGCACCGAGAGTGATTGGGGACAGCACACGGTACAGAGATAGAGGCCATGACATTAAC